AGCTTTGCACTAAAAAAATTACACGAACTTCCTGAAAAATACATTTGATATGATAGTATGTTTATATTCTATTACTAAGCTGCCGACCAATAGAACAAAACTCAATCTTTCTGTTGATCGTGTACATTAAAGAATTTTAAGTAACTACTCGGCTGATTTCAGTATTGTTGCCTTACTGTTTGTAATACAAACTACTTGATACCTTAAGTTGGAATGATGAACAATTAAATTGAATTTTTTGGATACCATTTTAATTAAAGATTTTCGTGAATGCCATAACAGTGTTTTGATATGTTGTTTTAAGAAAAATGTGAAACAATGATTTGTAGTTGTGAAAATAATACAAGATAACAGTGTTGTACTGTATAATCATTTCCACTATATATTGCGAAGCACGGGAAGCAAATAGATTATGTTCTTGTCTCTGTCTACGTCGATAAGGATGCATGATCAAATCTGCTACTAGTGTTCATTTTCAACCGCCAGGTTATCAAAAGAAAGGGACGGCGCTGCATGCTTGTTATAATTGATATAATTCTCTGTTTTATACGTCCAAAAATATTCTATTTACAACCAAGTCATTTCAATTGACAAAATGTCATATTCCTAAGATGAAACTGTGTTATAAAAGTACCATACAAGTATTATTTTATTTTATTTTTTCACATAACCACATTTTCAACTTTTTTTCGTTCATTCGAATGAACCTTTAAAACTTTAATTATGTCGGAATTTCACACTTTATATTAATAGAAAAAAAACTAAACAAACGCGAATATTATATATCATTTCGAAAATTACTTGAAGTAAGTTGGATATATGTTAAAATACGTCCTCGGTTTACGCTTTCTTTAATTTAAGCCTTACTGAATGATAAAAGTCACTTTAATAATCTACGAATTTGTACGTGTGGGTATATTTCTTATGCTTTTCAAACGATTAACTAGTACCACATAAGTGTGCAAAACATGTTTTAAGTATATTTTTATATTTAAATGTAGTTACATCAGAAAGAAAGTTTGGATTAAAATTGTATGATGTGAAGAGAGAAATAAAGTTTCGAACTAGTATCATCTGATGCGAGAATAATGTAACTTACTTATACACCCTTCTCCACGTTTTGAGTATATTGTATGATGTGAAGAGAGAAATAAAGTTTCGAACTAGTATCATCTGATGCGAGAATAATGTAACTTACTTATACACCCTTCTCCACGTTTTCAGTATATTGTATGATGTGAAGAGAGAAATAAAGTTTCGAACTAGTATCATCTGATGCGAGAATAATGTAACTTACTTACACACCCTTCTCCACGTTTTGAGTATATTGTATGATGTGAAGAGAGAAATAAAGTTTCGAACTAGTATCATCTGATGCGAGAATTATCTAACTTACTTATACACCCTTCTCCACGTTTTGAGTATATTGTATGATGTGAAGAGAGAGAAATAAAGTTTCGTACTAGTATCATCTGATACGAGAATAATGTAACTTACTTATACACCCTTCTCCACGTTTTGAGTATATCCAGGTCTAAAACTGTTGTTATACTACAGACACATCGAAACTCATTAAAGTTAAACATATTAATTATTTGATCCTTTAATTATGCTGAATGAACGAAAAAAGCTAGAAAAATACAACATTTACAAAAGAAACGAAGTTCCTTATAAATCATATTTGTTTAATTTAAAGCATTAAAGTTAAACATATTAATTACTGTTACAATTTAATTACTTCTGGAATCATTATGAATACTTCAGGCACAGATTTACTATGTTAAAGTGGTCCTTAATATAAACGACTACGTCCTCACTAATAGAAGCTACTTCTGTGCCATAGAATAAAAGTATTGATATTGTTATATATTTTACAAGACAGCAGAATGATGAGAGGCAGTAGGTGGAATATTGTGTATTATTGGCTTTAAGATTGAGAATGATGAAGGTAAGTAGTAGCAGAAGAAGAATATTGAGTTGTACATGCTATAAGATTGAGAAGGATGACTCTAAGTAGCAGCAGAAGAAGAATATTGAGTTGTACATGCTATAAGATTGAGAAGGATGACTCTAAGTAGCAGCAGAAGAAGAATATTGAGTTGTACATGCTTTAAGAGCGAGAGGATGACGGTGAGTAGTAATGGCAAATTTTGACCATTAAGAGTGAGAGGGATGATTGACTCTTTCTTGTGTTAAACAACATGGTGTAAATTCCATCCGTAGTTACACACTATACTTGCTATAAATGTTAAGTTATAAAGTTTAAGTATCATGATCTGTTATTAAATTCTCACTTCCTAAAAAGAAAAACATTTCGCATAGTAAAGAACGTATAACCGTTTCGTTATATTTTGAGGGAATTAGCATTCAAAATTCTAAATTTGAGATTACTTTCAGTTTTCTACGTTGATTTTTACAGTAAGGTAAAATTAGATTAACTTAATACTTTTCTAATAATAATAATAATTGTCGTACATTACCGTAATTAATAATAAGTGATGTCATAAACAAGTATTAACTATGTATATATATTTCAAACAGGTTTAATTATTTTAGGTAAAGCATTACTATCATATTGCTTTTAAATATTTTACTATTTTAAATTAATTTAATATTGATGATAAAAGTATCACGCATCAAACAAACGAAAAATATGCTTGAATAGAGTTGTTCAAACATTTGTTTAACAACAAGTAAAAGCTTGGAATTGTCTATCCTTTCATTGGGGGGGGGGGGGGTGTCTGTGAGCCAGACTAGTTTCGGAGAATTCCACTTCTCTTCAAGCCAAGCCTTTATAGTAGTGAGGTATCGAAATGGTGTATTTAAGTGTTTTACAGTCACAAAAAAAGAAATCTATCATTCTATAGGTATTTGAAAAACTTGTAGCATTCCGCCACAATTTAATTCTTCGTATTGTTAGCCGACACTAGGCAGCTGGTACATAATTGAGTAGAGTTGTTTAAATATTTGTTTAACAACAAGTAAGAGCTTGGAATAGTCTATCCTTTCATTGGGGTGTGTCTGTGAGCCCGACTAGTTAGAATGATAGGTTTCTTTTTTGTGAGTGTAAAACACTTAAATACACCATTTCGAAAAATATGTTTGTTACAAACCAAAATATTCCACAAGAATACCTAATAGTTGCAATCTCATATTTATTTTCATTGCACATAATTTACATTCTCGTGAAGGAAGTATCTTATTTCACAAAATCTCAATCATTTTTTTCACAATTATATGTGTATGTTAATGAAAAGATCCAAAGTAATGTAAAACCTAAATAATGTTAGTATAATTTAAATATATTATCTTTAATTATATTACACAAATATTTTGGTACTTGGAAAATTATTTCTCAAAAATTGTCTCATCTGTAAGAAGTATTATTATTATATTAATGTTAATACATTTCTCATTGCTGTAAATATGTATATGCATATGATGTTGGTATCATTTTCCAGGACCTCCTAAAAACTCAGAGCCCTTTGGTTCAGAGTATCTGATGACACCAAATGCATCTCTTTTTCCCGGACCTCCTAGAAACTCCGACAAGCGCTTTTTGATACTATGAACATGTTGAGAACTGTCTGTTTCAAACTCTGAGGGATCATTGATATTTCGTTTCCCAGGCCCACCAAGAAATTCGGAAAATCGCTTTCCAGGTCCACCAAGGAATTCTGAATAACGTTTTTCAGGTTCTCCAAGGAATTCTGAAAATCTTTTACCAGGTCCACCAAGAAACTCGGAAAATCGTTTTCCAGGTCCGCCAAGGAACTCGGAAAATCGTTTTCCAGGTCCGCCAAGGAACTCGGAAAATCGCTTTCCGGGTCCACCAAGAAATTCTGAAAAGCGTTTTCCGGGTCCACCGAGAAATTCAGAGAAACGTTTGGATGCTTGTGTGTCTTGTGGTGAAGTTTCTGAAGATCTTTTTCCTGGTCCGCCGAGAAATTCTGACAATCGTTTTAGTCTATCACCACTCTTGGAATGAGATTCATCGATACGCTTCCCTGGCCCTCCCAAGAATTCGGAATATCTTTTTCCAGGTCCTCCCAGGAACTCTGAAAAACGTTTCTGGTAACCGAAGTTATCTCCATGATAGTGTATTTCAGGGTATTGGCCGAAAAGTAAGGGAGTCATATCATCCATCTCATCTGTGATTATACAAGTAAACAACATTACACGTTACAAATATTTTGATAATATATAATGAAAAAGCACACACTTCAAAATGTTACTGATACGTTATACTGTAGAAACGTCAATAACGTTTAATTAGTGTTGTTATGTGATTATTAATCGAGAATACTCAGGTTTCATGATTATTTGCTGTTATGATTATCCTTTCTATAAGCCCCCAGTGGCACAGCGGTATGTCTGCGGATTTACAACGCTAGAAACCGGGTTTCGATACCCGTGGTGGGCAGAGCAAAGATAGTCCCTTGTGCAGCTTTGTGCTTAACTACAAACAACTAAACAAACCTTTCTATAATGTTTTACATTGTTAAGCCTATTTGTAACAAGTCGGAATAATTCTTAGTACACTTTTGAATCACAAGTTCACTTTATCCGAAGTAGCTCGTCTTCTAATGCTTCTGTGCTAAAAACCTCCTGTTGATATAAATATTCACATTGTATTGAGCCGCGCATAGCCTAACGGTTGGCGTGCTGAGACTGTGAATCAAAGGTGCGCCATAAAAGTGAAGATCAAATCCCACTAATCACTCAATCAAGAACAGCCCATTAGTTAAAAGTGGGTGGTCTTGACTAGTCGCCTTCCACCTAGGCTTCCAGTTTAAATAACTATGCGCAGATAAATAGCTCTTCGTGGAGTTCTGCGCAAAAAAATTTTGAAACAAGCAGACTTTTTACTACCCACCTGTGGCAAAATTATAGTTTTAGAAAATTCCTGTTTTGCCTATCTCGCGGTAGATTAGTTTTTATGTACTTGTTTAGGTTGCAATTCCTATAAACACTTCAATTGTATTCTAAATACTCTTAAAGTAGTTCCCGGGGTTTTCATACATTTTGAAAAATAAAAAAACTATTAAATTTGTTCAATTTTATAATACTTTAACTACGTGTTACGAACAAATACAACATTAGTAACCATCAAACATTGAAGTGTGTGTGTGTGTGTGTTTGATGCGACCAAAATTAATTTTCAATATTTTTCAAAGTGCAATCAAACAGAAATTTAATTCAAATGTATGCTGCTAGTTAAAGAAATTTTTAAAATATCAACATTTTGGATATATTATATTGATCAAATGAAAGTTCAATATTACACTCTTCAAAATACACTTAAAATACGTATGCTTAGGGTATAATGACCTTAACATGCATTGACTTAATGTATTAGTTTTCATAAACGAATTAGAAACTTTACAATGTATTGATCTTGCTATAATAATTAACATCGATATTTCGGCATGTCGAATATTAGAAATATCTACATTATTATTGTATGATTTTATGTTATACAAAATATACAAATATATTTCACCTATATAACAATAAATAACAAATTTATATTTAATAATGCAATATGAAAAACAAATTAACTAAACAGACATTGAAAAAATCAAAAACTATTTATTGCTCAAAAAGTAGAATGAAAATCAAAACGAATAGTAATAAAGTCAACTAAACCCTTAATATTTGCCAGCATACGGGTTTATCGTTTTTAACGAATTGTCTTTTTTATGTAACATAACTTCAAGAATTAACTGCAGACAGCGAGAGAATGAATAGTGTCTTTTTTTTTCGAAATAACATGTCAGCCTTCAGAAGCATTGAAACGTTTCAAAAACAAAGTGTCAAGACTGTATAAACTGAATATCACAATAACTCCGAACTTCCGGAACTTTATGTAAATACGTTAATTCACAAAGACATTATATAGTATATGCAATTCTTTCTGTACAGCTTTGACCGACTATGAAAATGATAAGTCCCAGTAAGGTACAACTAAGTATGATAGATAGCTCAATTCTTTCATTTTTTGTCGGCCAAGTGAGCTATAAAATTTTAAACAGTTAAAATAGAAACAGTGTCCCAATATTTAGGAACTATTTTGAGACTTATTCTGCTAATACTTATGTATTGTAGCTGAAACTGATAGAACTTCCTATTCGGAAGCCATCTCATTTTCCCTGTATTACTCCCTGTGGAATATCCGATAAAATACTCAGAAAAATAACGTTGCCGTAGGTGTTTTTCCCGTATCTTCAAGTCTATTCAGATTTATACCGATAGCCAGTTGAGAAAAAAACATCCACGGTTACACTAAAAAGTGTGCTAGATATTATGCGAGGCTCATTTCATGAAAACATGTATTCTTTCTTCTGAAATCTGACGGAAGTCTTCAATTTGAACGAATCATTAACCAGTGATAACAATACTTATTTGTTTGTTTGTAGTTAAGCACAAAGCTACACAAAGGGCTATCTGTATTCTGCCCACTACAGGTATCGAAACCCGGTTTCTAGCGTTGTAAGTCCGCAGACATACCGCTATGCCTCTGGGGGGCTACTTATTTGTACAATGTCACAGAACATAAGTTACATATATGTTGACTGTTAAAAACCAAGCATATTCCCCAAGGCGCTATTTGGCTAACTGCCTAATGTTTTTTTTTTTCTTCACATTTTTCAATCGCATCTATCTTTGCACTGAGTTAGTATAAATTTAATTGTGTTCGAAAACAGCGATCTCGAAAGTATAAACACGTTTCAAAAAAATACCGCATGAATTCCGAGAGAATTTAAATTGTTAATGTAGAATTTCAATATGAAATAATTGAAAAATAATAATATATTGAAACATGCGTATTTCAATATTACTTGAAGTATGAACCGTTAGCCATAATAACTCTTCATGGCAAGCCTTCTTTAGAAAAAATTTAATAAAATGCGAAGAATTAAAATAAATTAGCAATAAACAAAAAAAAACAGTTCATTTTGAAGCTCCCTTTTTTTCATATAAAATGTTAAATCTTTTACAGGTTTATATAATTAAATTACAGAAACTCAAAACTATATGGTGTATAAATGGCATTTGCAATGGATTACGTTTATCTGCTTTCGTTACCAGCTCCCTGTGAGTCAGCGGTAAATTTAAGGATTACAACGCTAAAATCTGGAGTTCGATTCCCCGCAGTGTAAAGTACACATATTAATCATTTCTTAACTTTACGCTATAACAGAACACAACAAACTTTCGTTACCTACCTTAAGTACAACCCAGTGTTCGAAATAAAGGGGGAAACAACTCGAACTGTCAGTATGTTGACTCATTCTTCCCCCAAAGTTGAAAGTACGTATCAATAACGTCTTGAATAATCTCGTAGACGGTATTAACTTATGACCAAATAGAATTAATATACTTCGAGGTCCGAATTTTAGCGAGGAAACAAAAAGAATCTTTAGTATTTTTTCAACATTTATACATTTTCCCTCTGTGAACCGTAATAAATATTTTCTAAGGACTGTTTTTGTTTTGTTTTTTGCTAGTTAAATGTGTTGCCATGGTTATTTTATTTGTTAATGCAGATGCATAAACACGCACAATGAAAAGAAAACTCACTAGTATTTTTTTTAATTCCAAAAAAAAAAAGATTATTTACATAATGTCGATTGTGCTGCCTGTATGAAAACACAAATAATGTTAGTTTGTATTTATAAGATAGATAACGTTATGTTAGCTTAGTAGGTACATGGTAGATGAAAAACTCGATTATAACAATGTTGTTCCATAGCTAATAGTAATAAAATTTTAAGACTGCTTGTTGTGTGTGTGGAGGGGAGGTGGGTGGCATATATTATTAAGGTTTCAGTTTTAATTAAATCGATATTTAATGACTATGACCCAGTTAGATATATAATGAAATGCTAACATATTTTACCGCGAAAATATATGAGAGCGTTATGGGCGAGTTTGGAGTTTGTTACTACGACAACATCCAAGAGCTCCATTCTCCAAACGTCGTTGTATTGGTATATTTTCTCCATTGTAACTTATACAATATTATAACAGTCAAGATATAGCATGTATCATTCATTAAATTTTAGTTTACGAGAACTCTTGGTATGTATATATATATAAAACATAACATGATGAGTTTCAGTTTGTTTCAGCTCGTTGACTTTGAACGTTTGATTAGCATTTAGAAGAACTAGACAAAAAGTTAATGAAATTTCTATTTTTTTCCATTGAAATAATTAATAATATACATTCAGTAACATAGTCTTATTGATGAGGGCTTTGTTTTTTGATGAAATCACAGTATTTCTTCACGGTGTACTATGTATGTTCCTCAGGCTGCTCCAGGGAATTCTGTTCTTGTTCTCTAAAAGCCTCTGAGTTAGTCATTTGTATTCATGACTTTGAGGTTTGTCGTACGCTACTATCAGCTGTTCCATTCATGCGAATATATTGTTTTTTCTTGTGAGAGTTGAACAAATGTCCTGATATTAGTCTGAAAACTTTTATGTCATAGTAAAAATTGCTTAGTGTATTAGAACAAATCCACCTCTATACAAAAGATAAACATGTTTTCTGTCTATTGTTCAGTTTTTACGATTATTTTATTACACTATATATATTGCTCTATTCACTCTTTTTGTCATTATGCAAATCATTGCATACAACTTGGTATAGTCATCTAAATTAAATACTATATGTATATGCAAGCAGTTGACATAACGCTATCATACAAGCTACTGAGGTTAACTGTGATCTCAATTTTCTTGATTTTATAAGATAAAGGTAAGTCTGTGTGATATTTCAAATACTTCATTAGCACCAAAAAGTAACTTCCTAATGATCTGTGGAACTGTTATGGTTTAATTGCGACAGCTGGGATTTTAATTTATTCCTGTTCCATTAAATACTATCTTGTTAAATCAAATTAGAAAACCAATAGGGACAGAATACACTAAGTAAGCCACAACTGTTCCTTCAACGTGTGGGTACTTGTAAACAACACCAATCAAAACTTCCCACTGTAATTATTATCTTATATTTTTTCTCCTTTCCTTTTCAGATTTGTTAAAAGTGAGTGCAATAAACTAACACATTTTAAAATAGAACAAATCGTACTGTTGTTTTCGGCTGCAGCTCCATTAGTTGGTATGGCAATTATCATACTCCAAACTGCTACCCACAGGGCTCCAAGAACAACCGACATTCTCCTATCTGTTCTTCAGAATTCAGTTGAATCTGTGGAAGAGTGGAGCGCAGATAACTAAAACCGTATATCAAAACATAATAAGATGGATGGAAATATCTATGACCAGAAAATAAATTCGTCAGTGGTGTTGTCTAAATTTAAAAATATGGTTATATATATGTATATAACTTTCCTTTTTGTTCTATTTGTCAAAGAGAAAGGCTTTTAGTTATATTTCCTAAAAGTATAAATATACATACTATGTTGTTGTTGGGCTTAGGATTCTTTTACAGTAGGTGTCTGTGACTTGTCAGTAATAAATTTAATGATGACTAAACAGCACGCACTTCACTTGTTTTCGAAATAGTATATATATATTCAGAAGAAGTTAAAAGTATGTACAATAAATTATTCAACACTATAGATATTATGGACATATTATGAATACTATATATGTAGTTATATCCTTCTTGACAAATATCCACTTAGGCCTATTCAATTGCTTTAGAATTTCAGTTGACAAGCCGAACTATATTCTCTATATCTATCGCACTAGTATTCTCTGTGATTCACTTACAATTGTGGCGCAAGTTAACGTAATCGTTTGGTTTTCTTTCTTTTGAAGATCCTCTATTCCTTTTGTCAAAGTGCACTCAGGCTGATTTAATTACTTTAGAATTTCGCTTTGACGGAATAGAATGTTTTTCCTATCTTCTTTTCTACTCTTAGTTTTACTCTAATATATTAAACATTAGGCCTATATCAATCGTTAGGCCTATCACTTCTACGGTAGTTAACTTCACACCAACTTTATTATCTTTTGCTATTATCTGTCAGCTGTTGTCTGTCTACTGCTTCCCGTTCGTCTCATGCTATTTATATCTTTTCACTTAATCGCGCATCTGCCTTCTATATTCTCGACGTCAATGTATTGTACGTGACGTTCGATACTCTCAACAATGAATTATCAACAAAACTTCCTACAATCGTCTACTTTTAACTCTAACTATAACAAAACTAAACAGTAATTAAATATTCACTCACAAAAATAAATTAATCAATAATATCTAAACCAAACAGTCTTTTATATCATGACAGGTGTATCCAGTTTACTTTTTGTATTTTATTCCCTCAAGACATAATTCAGTTCACAAACACCTGAATAAAAGAAACATGTGAAAATATATTCAAAAATAATATCTAAATGAAAGTATATATAAATGCAGGTTTCAATTTAAACTGTCTATCATTTCTTATTAACAAAAACTATTATATATCTGATATTCTATGTATAATATACAGGGAAAATACGTATGTACAGAGAGAAAAAATAATTAACTTAAATGTAAACATTGTCCAAAAAGTACGGAACTTGTTTTTGTTTGTGTAATGTTCAAAACATAACAACACGTACTTTCAAAATGTATCAGATCAAATGATAATTGACCAACAGATATAGACATACATCTTCAATAAAGAGGACTAAACAGAACAAATCATATATATGTATCAAAGTATTCTAATTTAAAAAATAAATAATTTCTACTTTGCAAAAGTAACTGAAGAGTCACACACATATATATATATACACATACTGAAATGCTTACGTCAAAGATAATTGTGTTACAAGACACATTTGAGCAACAATAGAAAATGTTATTTTAATTAGAAGTTTGTACGAGAAACTGGAAAGGCGCGAAAACACTGATCTTAAGTTAATACTTTATTTTAAAAATAAAAAGTGCACATATAAGTTGTCGTTTCAAATTTAATAAGGCATTAACGCCCTAGAAGGAAGTCGATGGATTAATGCTTAAATATTACATATTTTTGGTTAATTTTTCATATTAATTAAGTATCAGATGTAATTCTAATTTAGTGTTTTATATCACATTTAACAGTGGGAGCCATTCTATTTTTAAGACGATAGTGCACACCAAAACATATTCACACTGAAATGGGTGAAAGGGATGTTTAAATTGTAAATTAATAAACTGTTTAAATGTTTGAATGATATTATCCAAATTAATAACTATTTATATTGTTTACTTTGTATGTCAATAATGCTAAAACTTATGTTTTTTATTTGTGTATCGAGTTCCTGGTCGACTTCATATTCCAAATGGCTCATATTTGCTTTGTAGATATTTTGTTTTTGTAAGTTACTACATTTAGAGAAGATTTAAATCTATCTATCTAGATATGGGTATATGCAAGGAAGTGTGGAGAAAAGCTTCAAGTAGCACGGTCATTTAATTTTTTTTTTTCAAATTAAGGCCTAAAACTATTTTCTAAATATCTTAAAATTCACAGATGACTATAATAGACTAACATTACAATCCCTTTTTCCATTAAAATATATCAAATATCGTCCTAATCACAACTTGAAACTTCAGAAGTTTGCTACAAGGATTAAAGTAAGTGAATCATAACTTTTGTTGTTTTTTTATAACCGTTTTCTAAGACTGGTATATTGTAACAATCTCAAACCATGCTCCTACGTGAATGAGAAATTATCGAAATACTTCATTAACTGACAATTAACTAAATATAACGACACTTAAACGATGAACAATGGTCAGCATTAATGCCATGAATGCTAAAACAAGATAATTTACTCCAAAAATAATTGCTGTTTTGGTTCACTACGATATACAACATTTGTTTTAAAAAGGAAATATGGTTCCATTAAATAATAAGGAAGAAAGAACTTTCAGAGCTTAATATATATGCAAATATACTTCCTTTTATAATTCAAGTTTCGATCAGAATTTTACAGGGAGAGTTCCAGCATTAGAAGAAAGGTAAATGCCAAGCTCTTAACGTATATCATCCAGTAAAGCAGGTGAAAACTATTCAATAGAAACAATCTTATTTGGATACAAAATATCTTAAGTAAGCAAGATAAGCAGTCTAGTGTGTAAACTAAATTTCATATAGACAATGTTGTAACATCAATAAAGACCACTGAGAGACAGACAAACAAAAGGCTTACAATACAATCAGAAAAAAAAGGAATGAATAAACAGAAGGACAGAATCGTTAAATTGTTGCAGCAATCTCTTTTTTTTTTCTAAGCTCGACAACTCACAGTATATTTCTAAAGAAACAAATCCTTCATTTTCCATCTTTCTAAAGAAAAAATAATTATGCCAAGCAATTAACAGTTCAGTAATCCTTAGGATACTATAAATTTTGACAGTAATAGCAAATTTGTAGATGCCAACGTGTGTCTGTAATTTAAAGGATTATTCGTCGGTCTTACAAGCTTACACTAAAATATTCGATCTTCCCGTTCTCTTAAAATCCTGTCATTATCTTTAACGTATACATTACTTGAAGTTTTCTTTTCCATTTTAAATAAAAATATATTTTATTGATACTCATTATACCTTCTGGAAAATTTTCCCTCTTCAAATTCTAATAATAATACATTAAATGTTTAACGGAAACCTTTGGAGTATCGCTAATATATAAAATGATAAGTTTATAAAAATATTGGCGAATATTAGGAAAACTGGGAATAAAAAATAAAAATATGTATTTCCAGTTTATGGATATCAACTCTCAACGTGTTAAAGGTTTCACAATTTACGGTTATGTATTTTACATCAACAAAAGAATATTTTTTCTCTTTACATATATATATATATTTAAACATCTATATATAAGTTCGATAACTAATATATATATATTTTTTACTTTTCAAGAAAATGGACATGATTGTTATTACACATAACTATATTGACTGTTGTTTAGAGGAAAATATCTTAAAGGGGCAACAGCAAGAACATATCTTTGTGAACGATTTCTAAAAATCCAGTTTCCTGCAGAAAAATCTCTCAGAATAACAATGTTATGTGACTTATAATTGGTCATTGTAAAGTATATTTATAAACATGTTGTTGGAAAATCGCACATATATTCGTATATGAGATGAGACAGAATCAAACCGTATAATTTTCAACATTACTGACATTCGGAATCCATAAACATCACATTAATTAAGAAAATAATTGATTGTTTATTGTTAATCACAAAACTCTACGACGGGCTATCTGTGTAGTGCCCACTGCAAGAACCGAACCCCAACTTTTAGAGTTATAAACCCTCAGACCTACAGATGAGCCATCGTGGAACTAAAAACAATAATCAATTTAATTTTTTTTACTAATACTAAGTTCTATTAACTGTAAAAGATCAGCAAATTAGACTTAAAATATTTTTAGATTTAATATTATTTACAAATCATGCCCCTAAAGGCTCAACGGTAAGCGTGGGAGCATATGATACTAAAATTCTGGGTTTTATACCTGCGGTATATTTGTTCTTAATAACGAACACATAAACAAACAAAAAGTAATACAGAAAATTTAATTATATCATATTACACTTCGTCTTTTGAATGCATTTGAATTAAATAATTCCAAAAATCAATAATGTTGTTTCACTAAAAACACCACCATCAAAGAATAAATTTCCCAAAGTTGTTTTGATATCTGAATGAATAAAAGGAATGGATTGAAACTTAAATAAGATCAAAGATATAGTTAAACATCTACAAAATCTTCCATAAAATGGTTTGTATTAAGACAATAACATTTCTAATACTTATAAAAGGTTAGAGTTGAGAAAATGATAAAACATTCCCACATCTTGTATCACAATTAAAATAAAAAGGATGAATTTGAAGCACAAATGGTAAACGTTTAATTTAATTTGAAGATCTCAGAAAACATCGCCATTCTCTCATCGAAGAACTTCATATGTGTTACGTGAAACAGGCTAAATGAACTCACGTAAAAACTAATTGGTCGCAATATTTATATTACGATGTAATAACTATTTGTAACTTACGCTTACATTTAGCACCAGTTTTTGCATCAACATTTGTAAACGATATAAAGAAAATACTACAGTATAAGTGTATTGTGAAGAGAATTGAGAACGTTGTATTATAGTCAAGTGACAATCATAGCGGCTATAAATTCGCGGTGGAACTGAATGTATGAGAACTACTACATTTTGACATTGTTTATCGTTACGCACT